TTATTGATTTGCTATAAGTGAGTGCCTTTGTTTCATCCTTCCTGAACTCTACTGGCAACAGATGGACAGTAGAAAAGAAAGGCAATATGGTGAACTTCTCAGCCCCCAAACTGGAGATTCCTGTTGAAGTCCAAGAGTTCATGTTCAGGTAGACAGATTTTTCTAGGTGATGGACATTTGAGTGTCTACAAGTATTTACAGGGTCCTCAGACCTCAACAGAGTTGGTGAGAAGTCTCCAGGTTTTGTGGGTGTGCTATCTGTAGCTGCAAATTGCTCATCTTTAGGAAACTGGCCTTTCATCATCTTGGATGCTGTATTATTATTTTGATCTGTTTGCTTTTCTTTGGATATTTTTTTCAAATTATTACTTAAGGATCTTTCTTTAGCCGGGCGCCAGTGGCTCAGGCCTGTAATCCTAGTTACTCAGGAGGCTGAGATCTGAGGATCGCAGTTCAAAGCCAGCCTGGGCAGGAAAGTCTGTGAGACTCTTATCTCCAATAAACCACTCAGAAAACTGGAAGTGGCGCTGTGGCTCAAGTGGTAGAGTGCTAGCCTTGAGCTAAAGAGCTGAGGGACAGCGCCCAGTCCCAGAGTTCAAGCCCTAGAATGGACCAAAAAAAAAAGAATCTCTTTTTGGTGATATTTGGGATTAAACTCAGGACCTTGCACTTACTAAGTAAGCACTGGATCTCTTGAAGCCATGCCCTCAGCCCTTTTGCTTTGGTTACCTCAGGGATATATTTTGCATAGATGCCTGGTCCAGCCTGGACTTTGATCTACCTATTAGCACCTTGTGTAGCTGGTATGACAAATGAGCTCCATCATGCCCAGGTATTGTTGGTCAAGATGGGTATTTCTAACCTTTTTCCCAGGCTGGCCTCAAATCTTGATCTTCCCTATCTCCAATTTCTGAGTAGCTGGGTTTACAGGCGTGAGCCACTATGCTTGGCCAATAGATTATTTTAATAATTTCATTTAAAAATATTCCAGTTCAATTGTGTTAAAGTGAGGTTGGTTCAGGGATCTAGCAGCCCCAAGGTGAGGCAGCACTGATTTTTGACAAGCTCCTTCTTTCAGATTTGTATTTGGAGCTCAGTTCTTGTGCTGAAGGCAGTTGGGAACCCAGTATTTACCATACAATTAAAAATGTCAATCATTGCTTCACATAGTTTGGTATGAAAGGTACTAAAACTTGCAAATCCAATTGGCTGTTGGACTCTTTGGGGAATTGTCCTGAGGCTTTGGATTCTGATATTTCATGGGCCCTATGCAAAGACACTCAAAAGCATCCTTAACTCTTGTCCATGCGTGTGGAGTCAGTTACAGGACTCCTTGGCAGCTGGTGGTAGACACAATGTCTCAGGGACCTTGGGAGCTATAGGAATTTTTGATGCAGTCAGAAGAGATGCAGACCTCTGCATAGCTCTGCCTGTGCTCTGTTGTGTCAAGGTACATCTGCTGTCACTTGGATTCCAGAAAGCCAAGCATTAGAGGGTGTGATACCTTGTGCTTAGAGCACCTCCCTCAAGCTCTCTTTGTTCACTGATTTTTTTTTAAAACAACAGGAGGCAGGAAGCCCTCACTTGGCAAGATCCTGGAAATGCCTAGTGGTTCTTTTCTAACCAAGTATGTGGTGTGTTCATTTCCTGGGAAGCAGTGGAATTGAGATGCCTCTGGGATCTTCCCACAAGTGGACATGTGAATCAGAGCAATGTCATCATAGATGTTTTTGCTTATGATCTGGATGGAGAGGTGTACATGTGGGATTGAGCCTTTCTTGTTCCACAGCTAGATTAGATCCCTAACATAACCCCAAGCCTCAAGTTTCTTCAAGTATATGGTGCCTCAGATTGTACCCTGTGCCTTTGAAATAGCAGGAAACTTAACTGGAGACAAGTATAGGATAAATAATATGGCTATAAAGAAAACTGATGTGGCCACAGATGATTCTGAGAAGAACGGAGCCATGTAAGGAGTGATCAAAGTAATTAAATCAATCTGGAAATATTTTACCAGTCAGCAACAATCCAGATTTGATTTTTGGCTCTCAATTCCATTGTCATTATTGCTTAGAACAAAGATAAAGGTGTTCTCAGGGTACAGATACTAGTTTGTCTCCTCTTGATATATACTAAACCAACCTGAGTCTCACAAGTTATGACAGTCATCATACTGGTGACTGTCAGAGATTGCTGCCACATTAGGATACAGCTGGGGTCTGTGTAATGCACTGATACCACTCAGATACATGGTAAGTGGAACTTATACAGAAGCAAGGGCTTGGGGGTTAAAGGCATGTGTGAGAAATGGCCGAAGGTAAACAAATGCATAGTGAGGTTTAGAAATGCTCAAGATATTCAGAGATAGGATGTATGGGGTCCTTAGATTGCTGGTGGTGGATAACATACATGAGTATGCATTAGCTCACATACACTTAAATTCATACTTTGTTCTGCAGTCTGTGGTAAGCGCTTTCCATGTAGTTTCCAATGCCCCACAACACACATACTGTTATGATCTTCATTTTATAGGTGAGAAAATGAGCTTCATTTTATAGGTAGACTGTGAGTGGTGAGTTTCATTACAAGGCAATGGAAGGACCACATTTATGCTGCTGGTGACCATAAGGCAAGTTGGGTAGGAGAAAGAAAAGAAGGGTGAAAATAGATGGAGGGAAGAGAAGAAAAATAACACATGTACAGTGTTTGCCATATGCTGAACCTGCCCTTGGGAATTCCCCATGTATTATTCCCATTAAGCCTCATACTAATTGTGTGAGGGAAGAGCTATTACTCCCATTGTATAGATGAGGAAATTAAGGCCCCACTCATTAAATAAATAGGAGAATTCACTACCAGTGAGCAGCAGCTCAGGTTTGATTATAGGTGTTTTTGGATCCCAAGACCATTGTCATTTCTGCTTAGAACAAAGATAAAAGTGATACCTGGACACAGATATTAGATTGACTCCCCTTGCTATATAATATACAAGCCTGAAATCTCTGAGATTATAATAGTTACCTAGTTGGTGACTGTCATTACTGGTTCATTGCTTAGCTTCTTGGTTTGATCACAAGATCCACCAGGGCAGGGGCCACCTGCGTAAAAGAATGAATACCGGCAGAGACCAGTAGGAGAGAGAGTGGCAGAGACCACCTGTTATGACAGGGGAATTTAAAAGAAAGGTAACTCCTACTGGGATGTGGCAAACAGGTTGAACTGTTAAATTGGGGTGCTTCTAATTCACCTTTAGAATCACTGGAGAAATTTTTAGCCATATTGAGTCCTATATCAGACTCCAGCATCATACTCCTAGGAGCAGAGCTCTGGGTATCTGAATTTTGTGTCACTCTTTGGTTGAATCTATTTCATGGCCAGGTAAGGAACCCCTGCAGATGGGTTTGAAGGCTAACCTGAGAAATGGGGTCCTGACTCACACCATCTGTCTCTAGGGTTTACTTTTCAAATCCTGCTGGTGGTCGCCAGGCCTCTCTGCCTGCTATACTTCTAGGCCAGGCCGTGCAGGTGCCTAGAGCCCAAAATGAAGTCTGATATAGAATCAGGAACAAAACCTTATCAACTGAGTATTTGCTGAGCAAAGTTCAGCTCAAGTAGAGCTGTGGATCCGGGTTTCACAGATACCCAGGCTTCCGGAGGACTTTGATTCAGAGCTGGGTCTCTGGGGACCCTTATCAGTGGATGATAATGAGATTTCTATGTGAGCCGTAAATACTATGCTTTTGGCCTCCCAGACCTAACCCTTCATTCCAAGGGGCCAGGTCCAATTTGCATCTGCACAGGAGGATTACAACAGGGCAGCCTTGGCTAGTTTGGTGTGCTTTCCCAGGCCAGGAAGGGCCTGAGCTCTGCCTCATATTTTGGTTGGTACATTGGTTTCTTGTCTTTTGCAACAACTAGGGAAGGAAACCTCCTAGCAGTAAAGTGGCCTCAAGACACACAATGAGCATTGGGCATTTGTTCTTGGTCCTGGGACTCACAAGAACTTGGAAGCCACTCACTTCAGCCCATTCATTCTAGAGGTCCAGGAGAGTTGAGGGGAAGGTGAATGGAATCACATTCAAGGAATCATCCTGTTGATTAATCAACAATAATTACTTGCTGAGCCTCTTCCAAGTGAGCAGGCACCTTGGGAAGATAAGACAGAAATGAGGTACAACAGCTCATCTTGAGATGTTCCTAACTTAGTAATAAACTAGATTCAATATCAATATCAAAATGGATAATTACTACACAGCAGGCTGAAGATACGTTGGATGCTTGCTTGCTCCATTTGCCCTCCGTATGGGAAATTCCAGTTCCATCTCTAGCACCAAACCAAACCCAAACTGCCCCCCCCCACCAAATTTACAGAAAGCTTGCTCTGTACCTCACTTCTTATTTACCATGTCCAGTGACTCCTCACAACATTCCTTTGACAAGATATTGAAGATTCACAAGCATAGAGAGACTTAGTAACTTGCCCAGAACCACACAGTTAGATGTGTCAGGGGCAGGATTTGAAGCCTGTGCTCTCTGCTCTTACTGCTACCTTGTCCTCTGCTGACATCTATGTGAATATCCATAGATCTATGGGTGCTGGGGAAGTTGGGGGATGTAGAAGTCTATAAGCTGCAAGGTGATAAGAAAGCAGAAAATCCTGGCTATGAGAAATGGCCAGATATATGCATGACCATGGAAAGAGGTACACATGGACCTTCTTGTGGGACCTAGGGTTTATGTAGTTAGGGTACAAACTGGTCAGAGAAATGGGTTCATATCCCATTGTGAAGCCTTTTCAATTCTAGACTGAAGGGCTTTGGCCTTCGTTATTTGAGTGTAGGGAGTCATGGAAGGTTTGGATACAAGAAGAGTGGCAATACCAGGGGAAATACTCTAGTAATCTTCAAGCCAGAACAGACAAATCCTGGAGGAAATGGGCACTGGGTGTTAGGGATCTGTCTGAGAAGGGCCATGGATTCCAGTGACATCACTTTTCCCAGCCACAGCTCCAGAGCAAACCCCTGCCCCACCCCGGCCATACCAAGGTGTCCGAGTGAAGGAGCCAGTGAAGGAGCTACTGAGGAGGAAGCGCTGCCATGCCAGCAGTGGGACAGCTGTCCCACCAACTGCGGTGAGAGTGTCTGTGGCCTCTGTGTGTGTGTGTGTGTGTACATGTATGTGGAGGTGCATGAGCTTGTGCATGCATGCAAGTGGGTATGAGCTTGTGCACATGTTTGTGCATACATGTGTGGGTAGGAGAGTGAGGGTGGCCTCTGTCAGACTGAAGGGTACTTCTTTGTTCCAGGGGATGCCCCCGACTGATACTGTGAGGATGGGTCTAGACTAGTTGGTGATTCCTTGAAGTGGGATAAGACAGAGTGGAACTGGTTCACTTAGCCAGTTGAACAAGGCTATTGTCAAGTCCTACGGGAGCCAGTGATACACACCCTGGTGGGAGTTGGGTTCCCTCTGGGAAAAGGAAGAGGGCAGTTCCCTAAGTGCACCATCTTTTTGCTCACTGGAAACACAAATTCTTCAAGAGTGCAGGTGGTGATGGTTGGTGTGAGTGCTGGGTGATTCTTCTGGGCACTCTGCCATCCTGGGGCCCATGGGATTTTATCCTGCAAAGGCCTTGGCTAACCACAGGTCCTTGTCTTTCTCCTCTCTAGGTGGTGCTGCCCCACCAGCCCCTGGCGACTTACACCACAGTGGGTAAGAGGTCCCTGCAGCCCAGCTCTGTCCTAGGACCCTCATGGTGGCGCCAGCAGTTCTGGTCATTTTCTTTTGTTCGTTTTTGTTTTAATACCACAGGTCCTTCCTGCCTTGACATGGAGGTCTCTGCTTCCACTGTGACAGAGGAAGGGGCCCTGTGTGCTGGCTGGCTCTCCCAGCCTGCTCCTGCCACCCTCCAGCCCCTGACCCCCTGGACACCTTATACTGAGTATGTGTCCCATGAAGCCGTCAGTTGTCCCTACTCAGCGGATATGTATGTGCAGCCCATGTGCCCCAGCTACACAGTTGTGGGGCCTTCCTCAGTGCTGACCTATGCCTCCCCACCACTCATCACTAATGTCACGGTATGTCTTATGAAAGCAGAGCTGTGCCCACCCATGGTATCCTGTTAGAAACAGCTTACTCTATGACACTTTCCTCTTTCTCCTCCTCCTCTTCCTCTTCCTCTTCTTCTTCCATTCCTTACCTCCTCTTCTTTCTCCTCTTCCTTCTTCTCCTCCTCTTCTTCCTCCCTTCCACCTCCTCCTCCTTGTCCTTCTCTTCTTCTTCCTCCTCCCTCTTCTTGTGATACTAGGGTTTGAACTCAGGGTTTTCAGGTTTTAAACTCAGTGTTTTTCACTTGGGAAGGAGGCAAAGGTACTCTACTACTTAACTACACTTCCAGCCCCCACAAATTCTTCTTATGCCTGTCTGGTCATGTTTTGTGCAACTTGAGGTTGGAAAGCTCTTCTCCTGCCTCTCTTCCTGAACATCTCCAGCTCCTCTGTAAGCAGTGAGTCTTGGTTATGATGAGCTGCAGCTTTCAGAAAGTGAGGAACCAAGTGAGAGGTAAATGGGTGTCCAGCTGATAACTTAGAGAGTGATTGTGCACTTAGCCATGGGAATTGCTAGAAGACATGTAGGCTGAGTAAAAGGTGTTATAACCTCTTAGAAAATTAGTTTTGAGTTACACCCACCTATAGGGTAATATATTTGAGTTGTGACTGTAGTGTCAGATTGCCTTTGTCTCTAACTCTTTACTCACTATCCATGAGCCCCTTGGTTAGCAACTTGATCTCTCACTATAAAATGGAAATACTAACAAGAGGGTTGTTGGGATAGAATGAGCTAATTCGTGTAGAACTATTTTGCACAGTCTTTCTGGCACACAGGAAACAGTAAATAAATATTAGTTATTATCACTGTATCAAAGTGTGCCAGCAATGTGAACCATGGGCCACCACTATCAATGGCTAGGTAGGAATGGAAGTCCCGATCCCCAGGAATGAAGGAAGGGAGTCATAGTTTAATGTGAATGGCAACCATATGTGACCATTAAGAACAAGACTCTTACAAGTGTTGAGGGAATAAAAGGCCTATGACATCAAAGGATCTTAGGTCCATTCCAGGGAAACTGTGGCAAGTAAGCTGAGGCTTCATGAATGGTTTCAGAGCCACCCTTGATGGCAGTATTTGCTTTGGTCCCCCAGGTCCCCTTTATTGCCCTCAGTGTCCAGTGTCTTCCCAAGGGACCTGCTCCTTACCTCCAGGCACCTTCCTGGCAGGTTTGTAGGAGTACACTCCACAGCAAACCAGCTTTTCAGTCTTGATGATATTAAGTAGAATCTTCCTCAGGTGACTCATTTCCATGTCAGGGGCCTGGAGTGGTGGACTTAGTGTTTGTCAGCCACTTCATTATTGAGGATTCTTTTCATTATTTATTCCCTTTGATTGTCCCTACTTCCTGCTTTGAAAGGTTCTGTGTATTAAACAAACTGTATTCATTAAGAAATAATTTATTTGTTTTGTCATGTTGTAAATTAACTCATCAAAGCTGGCTTGAACCAACAGTGATCACTACTGCTTTGTAGAGATAAGACTTGTGTTAGGAGTTGGTTTGATGTATAATTCTCTCCCTGAGCAGGGAATCTGGGTTGGGAAGCACAGGCCTACACTGAAGGAGAGGAAGTGAAGCATGCATGCTAGCTCCAATGGTGGGAGCCCTTCTTACTCAAGTGCTCTATTACTCCATGGAAAAACAATTTAAAACCTTGCTACTCAAACTATGGTCCCTATACCAGCCACATTGACATCCTGGGAGACTTGGTTAAACATGCAGAATCCCACCCTGAACTCTTGGACTAGAATCTGTGTTGTAACAAGATCCCTAGAGAGCTGCACAAACTGTCCTCAATGACTAATGGTTTACTCTGAAAACACCATGGTAACTGGAGATGATAGGCAGGTAGGGATAGCAGGGGGAGATTTTTGGCTTTGTCCCACATCTATTCCTGTAAGAGCTTCCACTTTGATCTACTTTTCTCAACTGTAAAAGCATACTAAGAACCCAGGCCTTGAATCTCTGGTGGGTTTGATGGTTTGGCTTCCCTATGCTGTCACTACCAGAAGGGTGGAAAGTGATAGAGCAGTTCTGGTCCAGGAGGACCTCAGGATGCCAGAGTTACAGTGTGGAGCCACGACTCTCTTTTTGTGTCTGAGCAGGAGTGCAACCACCTGCAAGATACAGCTACTGGGTTGAATGACTATATTTTCATACATTTAAGATGCATGCACTTTTCACATGTTAAGATCTCTGAAATCAGGATGCATTTTATAGTCAATGAAACCTAGAAAATTCTCTCAAATTTTGCTCAGCCTTATAACTTCATTACTATTCCTGTCTTCTTTTACAGGTAAGCAAAAATGAGATTTCCAAGTTGGGAAGTAGTGTGAGCTAGGACATAGGACAGATAAGTAGTCAGTGGCAAATGAGGGACCCAGTTGAAATCTGTCTGTTTCTCCACTGAGGGTGTCCTGAGCCAGGAGAAAGGAGGTGGAGCTTCAAAGAGAAACCAGAGAAGGGCAGAGTTGAGGGGGAAGTGGAGATCTTTAAGAGATGGAGATAAGCAGGAGAGTATCCCAGGCCTGCTAACCATTGGTCCTCTGTTTCCCCTACAGACAAGAAGTGCTGCTGCACCCACCATGGGGCCCCAGCTGGAGGGCCCTGAGCACCAGACACCCCTCACCTATTTCCCATGGCCTCAGCCCCTTTCTACACTGCCAACTTCCACCCTGCAGTACCAGCCCCCGGCCCCAGCTCTGCCTGGGGCTCAGTTTGTCCAGCTCCCCATCTCTATCCCTGAGCCGGTCCTTCAGGACATGGATGACCCCAGGAGAACCGTCAGTTCCTTGACCATCGACAAGTTGCTGTTAGAGGAAGAGGATAGCAATGCCTACGAGCTCAACCACACGCTCTCTGTGGAGGGATTTTAGGCTTGAGAATCCTTTTTCCTGAAATTAGGATTTTTAAGATGATCCTGGAGGGAGCCCAGCTTCCATATCTGGGCTACTCTTTCTACACCCAACCACAGTCAGAGTTCTTGCCTTTTCTTCCATCTCTCTTCATTTTCTACATTTTCTTTCTTTCTTTCTTTTCCCCGTTTCTTCTTCCAATTTTCTTTCCACGAGGTGGAAATAGTGTGATATCAACCATAATACTTTATGCCAAGTGTTCACAAGTTGCTGTTGCATCTGGGAATAGTCCCCTTTTTTTCTCGTGCCTGCTGCTTTGTGGTAGCAGTGCACTGCAGAGCTGTTCTAGGCTGTTACTCCCACTGTCATTTTGAGATGCATGGGGTGCTGGGTGGGGAACCAGCACTGCCAGAACTTCCTGGATGCAACCACCCAGGGTAGACCAGATGCCAGAGGCCTTGAGCTGTCAGTTCTTACAGTTGTTCTTTCTTTGTTCTTTGTAGCCTTGGCCAGATTTCTGTTCTGGACATCAACCTCAAGGGCTGGGACGCTGCACAATGCTGGGTTAGGGGTGAGGAAGGAACATCTGGAAGGGTAGGGGCAAAGTCAGCAAGAGGACAGAGGGTGAAGAGAGGGTGTGTGTGGAGGAGGCGGCCTGGGGGAGGAAGGCAGAGGAATCATTTAGCTCCAGCTTACTTGGTTACTAAGAAGCACATAAACTTGGGGGAAACTATTGCTTTCAGAGGTGGCTGTATAGCTGCTTTTGAGAATGCTTGCAAGGAAAGCAGAACTGTTGGAAATAGGATGAATGATCTCTTTGGCCATTTCTTCCCCTCTCCAGATCCTTCACCACAAACCCCTGAAGCCTCATAGCAAGGGTGCACTTGCTTAATGCTATGAAGTGAGCTTCTTTTATATCTTTCATTGTCTCTAGGCCTCCATTACGTAGAGCCAAGGCCACTTCTACACGAATACCACTTACCATCCTTTCCAGAGCCTCAGCTAGAGCACCCGTAGTTTTCATTTCAAATTTTATGTTATTTTTACTAGTGAAGCATTTAGACTTTTCAAGTCTCAGCTCTGATGGTGGTTGCAGGCCCACGTACTGGCACATTGCCTGCTAATGACACCCATGACCTCTACAAGGCAGACACTTGAGCTGTGCAATCTACATAGAACGAATAGACATTTTACAGGAAATGACAGTTTCTTCTTCTTCTTTTTTTAGTTATTTTATTTTTATTGAAAAGGTGATGAGCAGGAGTTTCACAGTTGCATAAGTCAGGTAATGAGTACATTTGTTTTTAATCATGGTTACTTCATCCCTCATTATCTCCCACTTGCCTTTCTCTACTCCCCTCCCCCCCAGTTGTAGGGTTTATATTCAACATAGTGACAAGTGAGTATCAATGCTGCATTAGTTCATCCTATGTCCTGCTGTTTCTGTGATTTCCCCTTCCCTTCCACAGATTGAATAATCTTATACATAAGACACAGGTACAGAAAACTAAAAGAAATGAAGAAGAAAAAAAAGAAAGACTATATACAGGACATGTTAAGAACCTCTTGTTTCCATATCTTGGAGTTCATGTTGATATGCTTCATTGTGTATGGTCCTATGCACAAAGCAATTAGGTTATTGAGATCTCTTGTTAAGAATACCATAGACATATTCTAGTTCCTACAAATGAGGGATACCATGCAACCTACTTTTCTTTGGGTCTTGCTTACTTTACTTAATATAATTTTCCAGGAAATCACAGTTTCTTTGATGTGTTTACATTGTTTTCCATGCCCTGGGTTATTTTGATCCAAATTTCTTACTATCTGCTTCAAATCCCTGCACATTTATCTTTGAATTATTTTAATTCAGACATGTTTTCATTTCAAAGCCTTAAGACAGAGTCTTGGATGATAAATTTACATCTCTGCTGGTAGTTATGGTGAGCAGCCAAAAGTTAAGGGAAAGCCAGACACTGGTGGCTCAGGCCTGTATTCCTAGCTACTCAGGAGGCTGAGGATCGCCCGTTCATAGCCAGCTCAGGCAGGAAAGTCCGTGAGACTCTTATCTTCAATAAATCACCAGAAAACCAGAAGTGGCTCAGCGGCTCAAGTGGTAGAGCGCTAGCCTTGAGCTGAAAAGCTGAGAGACAGTGTTTAGGCTCAGAGTTCAAGCCCCATGACTGACAAAAAAAGGGGGGGGATCTCAGCCCCGTTTGATTAAAGCCTGCTTTCCTATTATAAAAACACTATGCAAGATTTTCCATCTGTGTGAGGATTTGAGAAGACAGAAGCAACATCCACAAGGGAGCTCAAGTTGGTAGAACTAGCAAAGAAAATATTTTATGGATTTGCTAGGATCCCAATTGTGTCTTTTTCCCTTCTTTTTTTGAGGCTCAATGTCTTGGCTGTAGTTTAGTCCTTCTGGGTTTCTTCCTGGTTTATTCTGTAAGATGGAAACATTTTCAATAAAGATTTATAGACTTTTCTGAGCTGAAGAGTTTTGTTTTTTATCGGATTATTTCCCCTTAGCTTCCAGTCCCTTGTCAGACAATGTCATTAGAGGAAGAGCTTACACTAGTCTTGTTGATTTTGCAAATTGATCTGTTTCAGGAGGAGATAAAAGCAGTTGTTCCCACTGTGCTTGCTGCCTGTTTCATACTGAGCATGGCCTAGTAAGCTTGGTCTCCAAGACAGTGATCAGAAAGTTGGGAGAAAATCTTTTAATCTGATTGCTTTTCCTGTTATTTGTGTTACATGAATAATTTCTCACAATGTTGGCTGTCTAGGGTTAAGTCCTACCATTGGCAGGTCAAAGCCGACTCTGAAGAACCATCAGTTAATGCCCTGGAGTATGTGTTATCATCTACAAATGAACCCATCTTTTAGGATCAGGAATCACAATAAAACAGAAGACAATCTCACTTTCAACACCAAGCTTTGGAGGAAGAGCTGTTTTGGAGTTAGGGGAGGGGATCATTTTCCTGATGAATTGCTGAGTGACAAAAAGAAAAGAAAAGCCAAATGTGGTAGCTCAAGTCTACAATCCCAGATACATGGGAGTCATATGTAGGAGGATCATAGTCAAAGGCTAGTCTGTACAATCTGAATTCAGACTTAATCTGAAAACTAATTTAAAGCAAAAAGAGCTGGTAACATAGCTCAGGTGCCTGCCTAGCAAGCACAGAGCCCTGGCTTTAAATCCTAGTTGTAGTCTGGTGAGAGGGGGCAAGGAAAAGACCAAAAAAAATCGGATAACCAAGTGGTTCCAAGATCCTGGACCTCAAACTGCACCCAATTCCAAATGAAAGTTTGAAGACATGTTCTAAAGCTAAACACAAGTTTCCTGACATCAGAAACCAGGGAGAACTTACTTTGTATTAATTGAATTCATTTTGGTTGGAGTCAAAGCTGAGATACACAATGATTCCTTGTTGACCTGAATTAAGTTGGGCGATTCTCTTATCACCTGCTCCTAAATACTGGTATGAATGTTTGCAAGCTGACTGATCACACTGGCGCTTCCTTTTTTGACTTATTGACGTAGACTGTTGGTTCACATGCTTTCTTGCAATGCTTGGGTGGAAATATGGCTAATGTTCTTAATCTGTTTGTTAGTCTAACAGCTGTGGCTGCTGTGGAAGGTATTTTATCCATTTGATACATCTACATTAATTTTTTTTTATAAATTGACATCTTATAATTATATAGTCATGAGATGTACAATGTTATTATGATTTGTGAATAGTGTGGACTGATTATCTCAAGTCAATACTTCAGATACTTTTTGGTGTGAGAACATTTGAATTTTACTGTCATAACAATTTTGAAATGTATAATAACCTATAATTGATAATATTCACCATATTATGAAACAGATCTAAAAAAAGTACCCCATGTTCTTCCTGCCTGAGATTTGATGGTACTTTTGACCGTGATCTCTCCATTTCTTCTACATTCTTGCTTCTGTAGCCAACACGTTCTACTCTCTGCTTCTATGACTTTGAATTTTCTTTTAGATTCCACACGTAAATGAGAACATACCATATGCCTGGCTTATTTCGCCTAGCATAATATTCTTCAATTCTATCCACATTGTTGCAAATGAAAGGATTTCCTTCTCTTCAAGGCCAAGGAGTTTTTCATTGTGAATATGTGAATATGAACCCTTTCATCTATTGGTGAGTAATTCTGTAACTTGGTCATCATGAGCAGTGCTGCAATTAATACCAGTGTGAGCATCTCCTGAGTATACTTCTCTCACATTCTTTTTGGTAAATATTCAGAAGCAGGAGTGTTGGATTGTATGATCTAGTTTCAGTGTCTAAAGGTAACTCCATATAAGTTTTCTGTTCTAATTTGTATTTCCCCCAGAAATGTACAAATGTTTCCTCCTCACATTTCTAGCAACACTTGTTAATCTCTTGCTTCCTTGATAATAGCTCTTCAGAGGGAATGAGATGATATCTCACTGTGGTTTTAATGTGGCTTAAATAGTAATTAGTGACGTTGAGCATTTTCCCCCATGTGTCTGTTAGCTATCAACATATATTTGTTTATGGAATGTGACATAGGCAGGCCTCCGGAATGATACTGATGTCTGCTTTGGATCTGTTTTTTAATTTTTATTTTTAATCTATCTTTAAGTAGCTGTAAAAAAGAGTTGCTATTCAACAAAATAATATGTTAATACAATGAATCTTGATCAGTGCCACCCTTTCATCATTCTGTCTTGAATCTCAAGCACCCAAATATTTTCTCTTTAAAACTTCCAAAGTTCTAAGTTTTTTTTCTTTCTCTTCATTCATTCTTTTTTCTTCTTTGGCCTGTCAACTTTTAGATAGCTCTCTCTGACCAAATTCTTTTTTCTGTTGATCTATCTTGCATATTTTAAATTTTATTGAGTATTTTTTTAATTTAAGGATTTCTGTTTGATTGTTTAAACTGCTTTTTTCCCTTTTTGTTTTTCTCTGTTAAAGAATTGAATATTTTTCAAGCTCATTGAGTTTCCTTAAAACTACTGCTTTCAATTCTCTGAAAGTTCTTCCATTCTGTTTAGTATCCAGTCAATTTCTAGCAAGCTATTTTGAAGTAATGGTTTTCTGACTGCTCTTGATGTTTGTTGGCATGCAGCATCGTTCAAGCATTGAAGGATTAGGCAGTAGACATTGATTCCAGACTTCAAACTCTATGAGTGTGAGTCTGAGGGTGAGCCCATCTTTCTAGAAATCCTAAGTATACTCATAATTATACTGAGTGTGCAGTCATTTGCATCATTTCAGCACTGGATGGCACCCACATCCAGATTTGGTAGGAATCTGCTGTTGGTGTGTTTTCACTGTTTCAGCACTAGGGGGTGATCCAAGCCCAAGTTTACCTTAACTTTATGATTGGGTTGTTCATCTATATAGTTACTATTACCAATAAGTAATCGTAATGACAAGAAGTACCTAGAGAGTGTAGTTCACCCCCATAAGTCCTTGTGGGGCAGGTATAGAGACAGATACCTCACCCAGAGGTCCTGGCCTCTGCTCAGATACTACAGTATTTTGCTAAGCTTGTGGTAGAATCACCATCCTTGAGCTCTTATGTTGCAGCTCTGGCCACAAATGCCACCTAGCCGTGTTACACACTTACGAAGACTGGCATAGTCCTGGGAAAGAACCTACACCAGATCAATAATGCTATGAGGTGCTTGTTGCTGATGTGAGTTCATGGTCCAATACTACTGAGACCAGCCACAGGTAAATGCTGGCTAGAATTAAAGCCCTAGTAGTCTGGGGGCTACATGTCTTTCCTTGGCACAGGTGCTACTCCAGAGACTCCATCTTCAAGTAGACCTTACTTCCTTAGCCATTATAAAAGTAGTTTGGTGCATTTAAAACTGTTCAGCTGGGTGTGGCTATACAATTCACTTTTGGGCTTTGACTTTGCATTGCTTATGGTTCTAATAGCTTTATTTTGTAGATTCCTTAGGATTTACCTGTTAATATTTTTTGTCTGACCAGAGGCTTCTTTCTTCCTTTGCAAGCTATATTTAAATTTTTTCCTTTTCTTATTTTATTGCATTGGCTAGAATCTCTAGTACAATGTTGAAATTATGAGAGACAAAATCCTTACCTCATTGCTAATCTGAGACAAGAAAGCATTTGATATTTACCACTAAATATGATATTAGTTGTTGGCTTTTCATAGATTTCATTTGTCAGCATGAGAAAGTACTGTACCCTTTTATTTCCAATATTTTTGCATTAAATATCATAGATCTGTTGAATTTGTCATGATTTTTTGATCTAGTGATATAATCATCCATGTTTCTCTTGCTTTTTTTTTTTTTTGTCGGTCATGGGGTTTGAACTCTGGATCTGGGTGCTATCTCTCAACTTTTCAGCTCAAGGCAAGCACTCTACTGCTTGAGCCACAGCGTCACTTCTGGTTTTCTAGTGGTTTCTTGGAGTTAAGAGTCTCACAGACTTTCCTGCCTGGGCTGGCTTTAAACTGTGATCCTCAGATCTCAGCCTCCTGAGTAGCTAGGATTACAGGCATGAGTCAGTGGTGCCTGTCCCTCTTGTATTTTTTAATATAGTAAATTACATTCATAGTAGGATTTGCTTGTTTGTTTGCTGAGGAGCACTCTATCACTGGGCAATGGATTTCTTGAAAGTTAAAATTCTCTTGTATTCCTGGAATAAACATTAGTTGGTCATAATGCATTATTTTTTTGGTAAAAATTATTCATCTGTGTCCATGAGAACTATTGGCTTCCAATTTATTTCCTCATAATGTCTATATCAGTCTTTGCTTTCAAATAGTGGTACCCACATGAGATGAATTAGGAATTTTTTCTCTCTATTTTCTGCTATACTTTATGTAGATTGGTGCTATTTTCCCCCTAAAGTAATATAATTCACAAACGAAAGGATCTGGGTCTGGAGTTTTCTGTATGGGGATTTAAAAAAAATTAAAAATTGATTTCTTTAATAGTAAGTAGCTAGTCTGACTTTCAATTTAATCTTATATGAATCTTAGTTAATTGTGTTTTT